GTAGCCTTTAGTTTAAAAGGATAAGCTTTTTCATGGTTTTCACAAGCGCCTTGAGCACTTTAGTGGAGATGTGCGCTTAATAAATCTTATTATTATTATTATTATTATTATTATTAAGGGGGCACCTTCGGGACCAAAAAAGTGTCCCCTCAATAGGGGTGTCCCCTCAATAGGGTACCCTTATTCAGGGGACACTAATCAAAAAGGTGAAATTGTCTCCTTAATAGGGGTTTTTGGCATGTTTTCATATAATGATGAAAAATAATTCTTTACAATTTAATTTTTATTGACATAATTAGTTACAGTAGAATTAGAACTAATTTGCAATGTAAATACAATTCCTTTATAATTTGAAATCAGCAGAAATTTAACTAAAACAATACTTTTATATGTTCCCATTTTGCTTCGTGATGCAATGTTAATGAATGAATTAGAATCCTATGAAAGTGCAGGAAAAACCAAGAAAAAGAAATCCCCATGGTTAAGGGTCGAAATTGACACATGCAGTAGGCAAATATTATTCCAATATTCACTCCAAAGATTTGAGGAGAAAATTCTCGTTTATTGCTCAAATTTCAAAATTTAATTTTCAATTAATTTTAATTTCAATTTACTTAATAAACATCCAGAACAGAGAAGTAAGGTAGTAGGCCTAGAAGAACTTTAAAACAATAAAAAAAAAATTTCATCAAAACAGGCAATACAGTATTTATACATATACCAGAACAATTAAAATAGAAGCCACAGCAAAATTGGATAAATTCTCAAAATACAAAATTCAATCAAATCAATAAGAGGTGAGAACAGAACCCTACTTTAACAGATACAAGCAAAACAACAACCCATGAAAATACTTAAACACACCAAACTACTACCAAACAAAGACGGATTATTTTACTTGATTCAAAATTCTTTTTGTATTTCAATTTCAGTTAAAATATTATTATTATTATTATTATTATTATTATTATTATTTATTATTACGTAGTCTAACAAAAGCTCGCCCTTGACAATTTAATAGCAGTAGAAAGGTGATAATAGTTAGAAAGTATAAGTTCCTTAATAAATTACTCAAAATGTGTCCTACATAAAGTTGAGTGATTTTGTTCTTATTTTGAGACTGTTGTATTTGTTGTGATACAATAGAAAAAAATAAAGTGTCCCCTTAATAGGGGTTATATGACCATTTGGCACACTCAGAAAGTGTCCCCGTCACCTTAATAGGGGTGTTCCCTTAATAGGAGTTGGACACAGTGTTAAAGTATATATTACCTCTAGTTTCACGGAAAAGTGTCCCCTTAATAGGGATGTCCCCTGAATATTGGTGTCCCAAAGGAGGGGTTCTACTGTATGTCATTATCATGCCCATATATGGGAACATCACACATATTTGTCACATAAAATTTCATAGTGTGGACAGAATTTTGGGAATAGGAGTGGTTAGAAAGCTTGCAATTTCAGAGGTCTGAAAATCTGGTTCTTCTAGGATGATTCGGAAACACCAAGCTTCCCCTCCTATTCAATACCAAATAAATAAAAATATTTTTATATGTTGTATTTCACTGTACATCTTGAACTGGCCTATACCTTTTGAAAGATCGTCAAATGAGGGCGGAAAGAAATTACACATTTTGTTTTCTCATTTAGCAACAATGGTTTTCTCAAAAGCATCTAATAAGAAGGGAAATCAAGTTTATTGGCAATAAAGTATGGGTGTGAGGTAAAAAAATAGATGTAGCTTTTTTTTCAAATATTCAGCTTTCTATTGGATGTCACGTGGTTGTAAAGATTATGGTGGTACGATGTGAACATTTCAATAATTGTATTAAAGGGGTAAATTAATAATATATTGTGAGTTTACCAATTCTTATTGCTAGATATCATGGCAGTGACACCGTGATACAATTGTTTTTCTAAAGTTTCATTTTTTCACAGCGACAAGTTCACTAATAGACCACAAATGAAATTTTAATTAATTGAAATTACCTATTAAGGGGACACCTTCGAGACCAAGAAAATGGTCTATTTAATAGGGGTATCCTCTGAATAGAGGTACCCGTATTCAGGGGACACTAACGAAAAACGTGAAACTGTTTTTGGCATGTTTTCATACAACAGTGACATACAGTCTTTATTAATTTTATTTTTAATGACCTAAGAATCAGTTACAATAGGATTAGAACTAATTTATAGCAATAATTTTCGATGCAAATACAATTCATATATAATATGAAATTAGCAGAAATGTAATGTTTCCAATATTATTTCATGAAACAATGTTAATAACCAAAAAAATATTCTGCTATCTATTGGATGGATGTAGCATGAATAGCGTAAACGACTTAGAATTAAGGGTGCATGTTATGTATGGATTATAAGGACAGTACATGAAAAACAAAGAAAAAAAATATGGGTTAAGTACGAAGTACCACCTGCAGAGTGCCTAATACCGATGTTTACACTAGGACAATTTTGGTTTATTGCTCAGAAGGTGTCAAAATATATAGTTGAATGAATTTTTCTTATTTTGAGACTGCAGAAGTTGTTGAAATACAAAGAAAACAAGTGTCCCCTGAATATGGGTTATATGACCATTTGACACACTCAGAAAGTGTCCCCCACCCCTTAATATGGGTTTGTCATAGTGTTTAAAAATATATTTCCCCTTGTTTCACAAAAAAATGTGTCCCCTGAATAGGGGTGTCCCAAAGGAGGGCATCATTGATAAATTTAAAAAAAAAAAAATTCTTGCCCAACCAAGTAATTATATTTTCGTTTATTTACATTCTTTTCAGATGGTCATTTGGAATTGTATTGTATGAAATATATACAAATGGAGGACCCCCTTACCCTGAAATGGATGCATCGTCTGTTATTCAAAAACTTGCAACTGGTTACAGGATGGAGAAACCAACTGCATGTCCTCAGCACATGTATATAACTATGTTTTTCTTTTTTAAGTGCAACTATATTTCTAATAATTCATTAAGTGTGTGTGCATTCTTGTTGGATGATTGTGATTATCATTCTCTCTCCGCTTCGCGTTGGAGGTACTGTAGTCCCAATCATCCAACATTGCAATCTCCCCCACATACCACCTACTGCCACCACTGGCACTTTTTACCATTGCTTTTTACAAGAAAGAATTTCAAACAGTGCGGGACAATATCAGGGTGGACCCACTTTACGAGTAATTTCAAGTAATCTGGACCCCTAAATATGAAAAAACCTGGACCCATTTTCTTAAAAGTTTACCCATTTTAGTCTAAATATGAGAAATATGGACCAATTTTTCAAAAAGTGGACTCATTTATGCATAAAACTGCATAACTTGGAACCATTTAAAAAAATGTGGACCAATTCTTTATGGACCCATTAGAAAAATTGTGTGGGACTGTCCCAACTCTTCCAATAGCTGGCTACGGCATTGGTGCCCATAAATGGGCATGATGATGTCATAAAGAGCTTTGGCCAGATTATCGATGTTTCTGACAGAAACTGTTGCTTGCAGTCACATCATCGCTAGATACATTTGTTTTGTGCAATACTGTAATAACTATTTCTTTCTTTGGTCAGATATGATATAATGATGAAGTGCTGGAAATCGTGCCCTAATCAAAGACCAACATTTAACGACATGTTCATGACGTTTGATAGTTTGCTGGAAATGGGTACAGACTATTTAGAAACCGATCCATATCCAGCGACAATAGCGGTAGAAGAAAACATCCTCAACTCATTAAATATGAATGCTTATCCTCCTCACCAGAAACAGGTACGACTTAAAGAGCCATGAGTGAATCATTTTTACGGTAAAAAATATCCATATCTGAATAATGATATACTTTATTGTCCATCATAAAAACGGAAATATATTTGAAACGGGCAGAACATATTAGGCCTATTTTTATTATTGACTAAATTATGTAGTGGGTAAATTGTGTGGGCCAAACAAAAATGCCAAAATAACAATTTCAGGGCCAATTGTCCATCATAAAAGCAAAATATATTTGAAACTGGCAGAACATATTATGTATATTATTGATTAAGTTATGTAGTAGGTAAATTGTGTGGGCCAAACAAAAAATTCCAAAATAGTAATTTCAGGGTCCAACTAACTTGTGATTTCATCAAATCTGTAACCCCGGTTTTTTCATTGTCTTGACATAGGGATTTTCTAGACTCTTGCCGTCTATCTTAAGATTTAGATCGAGCTTCGTTTACGCACGCAATACAAAAATTACAATTAAGCGACTTATCGTTGTAAGCTTAGAGTGTGAATTAAACCTAAAATGATGATTATTGATAAGTGTTTATAGTTTGTATTATGTTAACAGTTATATTGTATTTTTCAGAATGACGATGGAATCTCAATTGATAGTCAAAGTGATGAGATGAATTGTCAATCACCAGAAGAGGCACATATTGCGTTTTTCGTATCCAATGGCAGCACTCCTACAGGGCACGTCATAGAATTTATACCAAAAATGGAAGATTCCGAAGCGGACGAGGATTCATGAAGTCATGTGTTAAGCATTAAATACATGTGCAATCTATAGGTGGCAGCTAATGTGTTGAAATAGCTATTAGCAGCTAACGACTCTACACCAATGCACGTTACGTACGTCACAATTCGCAGATTATAATACATACATACACACAAAGATACACATATACATACACACATACATACACCTATACACGCACATACGTCTGTCTCTTATACACATCTGTCGTTTTTCTGGTAGCCTTTAGTTTGATAGTGTGGACAAAGATTTAGTAATTAAATAATAGGTAGTAATAATACAAAATATCATTGCAATTAGTATGTAAGTAAGACTGTTTCTAAAATCACCCTGCATTATTAATAGTGTGTAAAATAGGGACGGGAAAACGTGTTTTAATATGTTTATATTGTATTTCATTTCTCAAACTTTAAAATTAAACATTATGCACGTATTTATATTAGAAACTCCGGAATAATATGGCAATAGTTGTTGCAGTTTAATTCCCCCGTGACCTGTATTTGGACATTTTTTTTTGTTTTCTGTATAGAGCTTTATAATGTAATGGTATTTAATATTTTATATCTTGATTTTTGACGAAATAAAAACAATGATTATATTTTTTGATTTAAAGTTTCTTCTTAAAAATTGATAACCGCCAGTATCAGCCTATATAAGGTCTATGCGAATGACAAAGACTTCTTTGTTTTTATTTATTTTGTATTTCAATAATATGCCCTATTGTAGGAGCGGTTTAGCTCAGGGGTTGCGGTTCTGTTTCTCAACCTTAAGGTCGGAGGTTCAATCCCTCGCCATGTATTACGGTTGCGTCCTTAGCAAGGCACTTTACCTACGGTTTCTCTCTCTTATGGCATACAAGCTTTTTGGGGGTTTTGAGGGGTGCTGAACTTAAATCTGCTGTATGCCAAGCTCGTACATAACCGGAAAGCCTCCAAATCCAATATGGCCTCCAAAATGACCGCCAAATTTTGATATTTACTATAACTTCCAAAATATTCCTTATAGAACAACAGTTTTTGAGTCTATTCTATGATTTTTGGTGTCAAGGCATATACTCAGCCATTATGCGGTGACGGAAGTCAAAGATGGCCGCTGAAATGGCCGCCAAATTGTAATATTGACATTAACTCCATTATTATTCTATATAGAACAGTGACCTTTTTTGAGTTTATTTTTTCAGATGATAGGGACATACAATGGCACCATCAAAATACAATTTAGAGCCAGTAACGGAAATCTAAGATTGCCACTAAAATGACCGCCAAATTACAATATTGTCCATAACTCCCTTAATATTTGATATAGAACAGGGGATTGTTTAGTCTACTATGATTTGAGATGATAGGAGAAATTAGCGGTTGCAGAAATCCACGATTTCCGCCAAAATGGCCGCCAAATTTTAATATTGAATGGTCAGTCCCTTAATATTCCATAGAACCACAAGATAGCATTGAAACTGTTGAAGAATACACCAATACCAGTGGAAAGTATCATCAAATGAGTGTCCTATCCCACAAAGAAAAACTGAAGAGCAGCTGAAAAAGACAGAAATAAGATAACTAGTAATAAGAAAAACTAGTTAAATTTGTGGATTACCCTAATTGACATTGGCAGTTCAAGTACCATTTTCCACAACCCAGCTGTGTAACTGTTGGAGAATACAGCAATACTAGTAGAACCTATCACCAAATGAGTGTCCTTTCCTACACAGTCGAACTGAAGAGCTGTTGGAAAAGAAGATGTAAGAGAAACTAGTGTGGTGGACTGCCGGTACCTTGTTTGACACTGGAAGTAAAAGTATCATCATACAAAACCCAACATTACGACTGTGGAAAGTACACTCTCAATAGAACCTACCGTCAAATGAGTGCCTTGCCCCACAAAGACGAACTCAAGACGTCTTTTGAGACAGGACACTCATTTGATGATTGGCTCTACTGGTATTGGTGTATTCTCCAACAGTCACGTGAGTTAAATCTCCCACTATTTCTAATTCATGGATTTACTGATGGTGTGGTAAATATGTCCAACGAAGTTAAGATTTTGGTAGCCATTTTGCCGATCATACTAGAGTTTTGCAACTACAAATGGCATCACACTTCTCTACGTGGTGCTACTCTACAAACCATATTATAGATTCAAAAACGTTGTTCAATGTTGATATAATGGAATTTCTTTTAAATATAAAAATTTGGATATCTTGGATATCATGTGGTTGAATTTGAATTTTAGTGGTCGTACTCTATGGGATGATATCTCAAATCAGACTCAGACTCAAAAAGAACTGTTGTTCTGTGTGTGTACTCCAAGGTTAATATTAAAATTTGGCCATCAATTTGGCGACCATTTTGGCGGCCATCTTGGATTCTTTATCTGCTATGGAATGACATTAACTTTTAGGGGTGCTAAAATATGCCCTGACTACTCAAATAATAGAATAGACTAAAAAATGTTGTTCTGTGGAATATAATTGAGAGTTGATGGTCAATATTAAACTTTAGCGGCCATTTTGGCGGCCATCTTGGATTTCTGTAACTGCTAGTGGCTTAGTTTGACTCAAAAACTGTTGTTTTATGTGGAATATTGTGGAAGTTATGGAAAAATATCGAAATTTGGCAGCCATCTTGGATTTGGAGGCTTTTTTGAGCTTGGCATACAGCAGATTTGAGTTCAGCACCCCTCAAAACCCTTAAAAAGCTTGTATGCTATAAGTTAACACAATTTAGCAGTAGCTGGAAAAGCCATTGTTTTTGTTCTGATTTTTTTTCTTGCATATCGTTTTTCCTATCTTTTTTTCACTGGGTTTTTTCGCCCGGCACTTTGGTCACTTCCCATACTTTAATCTTTTCCAAACTTCGTCCAAGCATAGATCATATATCAAGGATGTGTCTCTTAAATTTTATTGATAATATTAAGTGGGGTGTGGATGTGAGGGCCAATTGGAAGAGATTTAAAGGTAAACACTGTACACCTGATATTTAAAAAACAGATCAAGTGATATGACTAAAACTTTTGGGAAAGTTTAACCAAATTACAAGGAGGAAATTATTAAATTTAATGACTATCAATATTCGGGTGTACATTTGAGGGTCATTTAAAGTGCTAACGTCTAAGACCTAAGTATCTTTAAAACAATCACCAATGGATCTAAATGAAACTTTCTAGAATAGTTTGTCATGTTTTAATGAAGAAACGTTTAAATTAAAACGATCCGAAGGGTGTGGATACGAGGACCATTTAAAGGATGTTTTTTGGACTGGTGATTAAACTATATAAAGGCAAGTTGCGTTAACTAAAGAGTTTAAACCAACTGCAGTTATAAAACCTTGTATAACAGCTTGTCAAGGTCGAGCAAAGAAATGATTACATTTTTGTGAAGATTTCTAATTCATCCTATGACCTCGATTGAGACACGTACATTACAGTACCCATTCAAAATCACATATGTATTGCCATATAAATCATATCAGATTAAATAATAGTAAAGCATAACAATAACACCAGCTATTCTAAATTAAAGACTTTTAAGTATTTTCTAACATTTTTTTTTATTATAAAAAGCTGATGGATTGAACTATAATTCCATTTATTTAGATGTTTTAGGACATTAGCTTTATATATACTGAATAGAGCTATTGAAAATAAATGGTCAACATATACGTTTCCTGTTCAGAGGACAATATTTTTAAAATTTGCTTCAATGCCATATTTTGATAGACTAATATTATTTATAAAATTCGATAGATCGTTTGCTTCTGTACAATCATAAAAAAGATGCGCATCATCTTCAATAACATTACATTGTTTACAAATGTTGGAATTTTAAATTTTCCAAGTACACAGCCTTTTTCTAGTAGGAACAATATTGTGTAATAGTTTAAAATTGATTTGTCTAAGCTTGTTTTCCCTAATATTTTTTACCTTCCATGTCCAGGTTAATAACCAATTTATTTCAGTATTAAAATAATTTTGCCATTTGGTTTGGCACTTTGTAGGTTCTAAGCATTTGTTTGTTATAAAACACTTGTATATTTGCGTACTTTTCATATTGCACCAATTGTTTTATGTTTTTATCTTTTTTTCCTTTACGTTTTCTTTTTGTGAAAAAATAATACATTTCCATTTTTGTGGAATTCCAGTACACTTGCAAATTCTGATATCCAATTTGATTTTATATCTAACAAATCAAATAACTCGGTTGATTTGATAAATCTGTTGGCGACCACTATGTTTTTCATTTTTCGTATACCGGATATAACCCAGTTTCTGTATAATAATGACAAACCATTATACAAGATCAACTTGTTTCCCCAAATCGGTTGTTCAATATTTCTTCATAGCATGTTGGTTGCTTTGTTATGCACTTATTGAAATTAACTAAAGCATTAATTATTGAGGAATAGAAACACGGTATATCTTTGTGGGATGTTCCTTTGTAGTGGTGTATATGAGACATATCATCAAATACTGTTCTCGGGGCAAATCTATTAAAATACATTGACGGCAAGTACTTTCATTTGGATATTTCCTCATTAAATAAACGCTTAACACAAGCTATTTTTAGTGATTGGACTTGGGATCTAAAATCTGGCGCTTTTATACCGCCGTTATCATATTCACTGATAAGAGTTAATCTCTTAATCTTTTCTGTTTTCTTATCCCATAAAAAATCAAATACAATACTATCTACTTGTTTTATGACACTTTCAGGTGTTTCATTAATACTTGAATTGTAAAAAAGATTTGCTAGCCCAAGTGTTTTTAAAATTAATATTTTTCCAAATGAAGTCAAATTTTTCTTTCTCCATGAATTTATTACCAATTGTAACGATTCAATTTTATCATGCCAATTCTTTTCGTAACATATATCTTGGTCGTGGCCAACATATATATATAGAGGATTTTAAAAGCACTTGGGATCCAATTGATATTGAATAAACAATCGTTTCTATTTTTCCAGCGTCCAAGCCACATGGCGTTCGTTTTTTCTTTGTTTAGTTTTAACCCAGAAACTTTTCCAAATTCAATAATCTTATCAAGGCTCTTCCGTATACTATTTTCATCATTAATGAACAAAACCGTGTCATCGGCAAGTTGAGAAATTTTAACTTCATTAACGCGTGTACCTTCAAGACTTGGTAGCATGATGCCTTTAATTGTTTTATCACTCCGTATTCTTAT